TCATACTGCCGCATCACGCCCCGCACCGCCCCATGCGGCGCGCTTGTGGGGAAATCCAGAGATCTTAGCAAAATCTTATCAGACCAACTTTTGCATTGCCGCACTGCGCCTCGCGACGCCCTATGCAGCATGGCTGTGGAAATTTTACATAGTAATTTTGGTTCTTTGATTTTTGATATCCAGACTCGGTCCTCAACCCCCGAACGTTATCCCGGTTTAATTCCTTGAGCTTTTACTCGGACTTTAAAGCTCCAACTTGTTTGATTTAGTTTTCGAATATCATTTTAACTAGAAATCACTTCCTACAAGGCATAAAACACAATAAGTGCAATACACTAACTTTCAAACTCAAACACATGTAAAATGTAGTAATTTGAGTATAAACTATGACTAAAATACGTGATTCTAGTCTACCATCAGGTTCAATACTTCAAGAGACTCCACCCTCCTCTGAGCCTTCGACCAAGGAGACTCCGCCTTCTCTAACTCCTCCATCTTCTTGGCGACCTCGCCACTAAGAGCCTCTGTCCTGAATTGACACTCCTCAGGCTGGCCTCACAACAAGACTACATGAGCTTGGAGATCACTACACTAGGCTTCTACCCCTGCTAAGCTCGAGCTATTCCTCCTTGCTCCTTAACGTCCCTTTTAGGACGCTGCACTTCCCTACTACCTGCACTAGTTCCTCGTCTCTTTCCTTCAAATCCTCCCTTAGTTGGCGCACATCGCCACTTACATGGAGCCAGCATCGGAGCTTCTGGTACTTCTCAAGTCATTTGAAGTACTTATCCTTCAACTTCACATAAATATCTTTACGTCTCTACTCCCTACGAGCACTTTCAATCTCCAGAACGGCCGTCTGCAAAACGAACAAAGAGAATTAGAGCCTACGAAAGAGCAAAACATAAGGAAGATAACGATCAATGAATGTACTTACCCGAAATGTGAGACCAGTAACGTTATTTGACAGGGTGCTATCTCGAGGGTCATACCCTTTAATTTCAGAATAAAGAGGGTCAAGGGAGAGGACTATCTCCTCGGTGTTCACAAAAAGGTTACGATTCATCGGGATCGCAATTGTCCTTGAACCCCCTTCCAACCTCACTTCGAGTTGAGTAAGCCCCTCATTGATCATCCTCAACTCGTCTATATCCATGTCGGTGTCAGATCCAACATCCTCCTCAGCATCAACCTTCCTTCTATCATTAGTCAAAGAAGGCACGCCCGCCATAACCCCAGAAGATGAGGCCTTCTCGCGTCTAGTAAGAGCAGGTCCGTCATTATGCACCATGCCCTCGACCGTGCCCCCCACAGGATGCATGCATGTCTCCTCCAAGTGAGGGGCCTCGGGGAAAAGTCACAGCCTCCCATATTAACAGTCACCCGCCCCTCTTCCATGTATCCACAGCTCTCCTCTTAGGAGGTATTAGACCACCGTCATAAGGAGAGACGTTATCGTCATCAACTAACGAGTAGAGTTAGGAACGAGAGTTACATATGGAACTGAGATGGGCTCCTGAACTACGGTAGCAGAAGTTTAGACCGATATGGACAACGTAGTAGTTGCAATAGGAGCCGAAGTCGACGATGTAGCAGTCGCCTTTCGTAAAAAGGGAATTGATGCCCGGCTTCTTCGAGAACCCCTGACTAAAAAAAGACAGCATTAAGTCAGCAAAACGAATCTGTACATAATAGGAAATGGAGCATCCATGATCAAGGAAAGGAAGTTACCAGTCGAAGGGAGAACAGGCCTGAATTCTTGAAAAAACTTGGCCAATCGCGAATCTCTACAATGTGAGGGAGGAGCCGCTTGACCCAGTCAGAAATATGAGCGTCCAAAGAAGGAGGCGAGGTCTTGGCTGCAAAGGAAGAAGGAAAGAAGTCAGAATTCAGGAATAAACACGAGGGAGAAACCAGGTACTTATAAGTGTAGTTCCAAGCCTTAGGAAAGTCGTTGACATTGGCCACAACGTCATCGGTTCTAACAAAAAAGAAGTTAAACCATAATTGGCACGGGCCTTGTCGTCCATCTTCACCACCAAGCATTTGCCTCCTCGGTGGTGAAGGTTTAGCATCGTTCCCCTATAAAAGCTAGGGGCGAATAGATGTATTAAGTGCCGCAGTCTCAATTCGACTTAGGCCAGCTCGACAAACTTAGTGAGCATCTTTATAATTTTATAGACGTATGACGCGAGCTGAGTAGGACAAATGCGATAGTAGAGACAAAACTCTTCCACCCGTGGAAAGGAAGGGAAAGAGTAGCTGACTTGGAATGGGTAGGCATAGAGGGCGCAATACTCAGGACGATGGACCTGTACCGTGTCCCCTTCGGCCGGGATCAACTCGATATGATTTGGAAGACCAAATTTGGCCTTGAGCTCCACTAATTTCTTTATCGTCATCACTGATCAAAAAGTTCCAGGTGCGGCCTCTGGTGATTTGGTTAAATCGGATCTGGAGTCAGGGTTGCGTGGGATTATTTCCTCCACCGATGGGAAAATTTTATCCTCAACGGTGGCGGAAATGCTCTCCCCACGGAGGGGAACACCATTTCTAAGGGAGAAACATGACTCCCCTCACTAGCATCAGAAGATACGTTAGACATGGCTCAACGTAGTGAAGGAAAGTAATAGACGAAATGGAATGAAGAACAATATGGGTCACTGCAACAGAGAGGAAATTTGGAGAAGAAGAAAGCAAGAGAATGATACGGTGTTTCGAAAAGTTAGAGGGGTTAAACTCCAAAATCGGGTTCGAGGATCTCTATTTATAAAGATCATGGAACCGAAACCAAAAACGATTTATCATGATTGGCATCGGAACCGAAGCGGCATGTCTAATCAAAGTTCTCACGCGAAACAAAGCAACACATTGGGAATATGCGTCACAATGACGCATGACATCATGACGTCATCCTAACTCGTGGACAACATAACTCCAGCAAAGCACTCGAAAAATTTGAAGCATTTGAAATGTGCGGCCCATAGAGGGCTATGTCGCCTGCTCGCCACAATAACCACGACCCGTGTAGTCCGCTTGATTATTTCGACCACCACCAACATGATTCGCTCATCGAACCCGCCCATGAAGCCGGCATCAAAAAACGAAGGGACTAACTATATGTGTTAAAATCTATCTCTAGAATACTTAAGTCTGGATGACGGTAGTAAAATATTCTCAGGCCGCCACATGTTGAAGTGATTTAAGGAATAATGAAGGTCGTGGTCGAAGAATCAACAAGGATTGAAGTCAAGGAGTCATCAAGAATTGCCGAGATCGAATACCCTTGACAGAGCTATAACGGCTAATTTCAAGATATGACACTAAAGAGAATATTCTAGTGGATATTCTCTGTACTTGTACTATTAGGATTTTTAGGAACATGTTTTCTATAAATAGAAAAAGACACAATGATAGAGGGAGGAGATTCATTTTCTAAAATATACTTTGACTTTAGATAGAGAATCTGGTCTTATTACAAGCCTACAAAAAATAACCTTTTCAGTGAGATTCTTCTCCACACTTTTCCACTGACCGAGAATAACTCGGATATTCAAAGATTTGTCCATCATTCATTATTGTCAGAAAGAACATCCGTTGATTTTATCCTTTTTCGGGTGATTCATTCGTTCTATTTACATAAATGGCATTTATTGCTATTCATCACTATTTATTGCGGCATTAATTCTGTTTATATTCTTAAATATTAGCTATCACCGCCATAACTTTTAGAATAGATCTACGTTCCATTAATCACAGTGCTGAGAATTTCGTCTTTAGGATATTATCATTAACTAAGATTAATCATCGTTTGTATAAATTTAATTAGTTGAACCAAGATCTATATTTTCGGTCAAACAGAAACCTCATTAAAAAAGAAAACCATTTCTTTTGTTACTCTCCACCAATTTTTCTCTCTACCAAATTGTTAATACTTGTTAACTTTTCTAAAAGGTCATAATTCATAAAGTCTTCTATTGTTGTAGATTACAATACAATTTTTTTCAATAATAAAATCTTAGCCCAGTATACCTCCCTTTTCTTCTTTTGTTTTACTCTGAGTTTCAAAGTCTCAGTCTTTATGGAATTTCTTTCTCTTTCCTTCCTACTTGAGCCTCCACATTGCGAATGCAACTAAATTCTTATGGCCGATGATCATAATTCTTATATATATAAGGTATTTGATTACGTATATTATTGCAATTATTAATGCTATATTAACGAGCTAATTTTATGTAAAGTTTTTTGGTCTAATAATTTGATCGCATTTTATCAAATAAATACTTTGAAAATAAAACTTAACAACTTAAACTATTTTAAGAAGCCATATGTAATAAAAGAAGTTCTGTCAAAGTTTGAGAATTGCTAGAAGAATATTTTCCAAGAAAATTCACTGTCACATTCAGGTACATACTTTTTTTTCCCCAAATTCCCAAATACTAAAGAGGTTACACATCGCAGAAAATTATATAAATTAATTGACTGCGATCTGCTTAAGTATTAATTAAGGAACTGTTTTGTTCTTTTCGGAACAAAATAAAAAAGACAGATTAGAGGAGTTGGAGACACGGCTTGTTAGAAATAGATTTGACTTAACCCGGTCACCACTCACCAGTGTCACCATCATTAGCTGCCTTGACTTCAACTTCACACCTTACTCTCTTACTTACCCTAATACCCAAAATCAAAAATCAAATCACCAATCTTTTTTTCTCCAACTAGTCTTTTTCACAATTCCATCTCAAATCTGGTTTCCATTTCTCTTGCTATGTATCAAGATTTTAAGTAACCACTGAGATACCAGGTTAGTTCATTTGCTGCTTCCTAATCAAGATTCAGTAATTTTGTGATCAAAGACTTAATTTTGCTAACTTCCCAATTTTGTATTTGTGTTTTGATAGTGGGTTCTTTATCAGTATGAGTAATCTTGATTAAAGAGTGGTTTACAATTCAGTATTAGCTATATGGGGGTCAAGTCTTTTTTTGCTTCTTATTGGACAATGGCTGGTATTATCTGGTTGATGCTGCTGTCAGTAGGTTTTGTTGATTCTTATGTAGTAGTAGATGGAGAGTTAGGACCTAGGACTAGAACTTCTATGACTTACAAATATGAAAGAACTGATGAGGTCAATAAAGAATGTGCTTTTGTTTTAGCTTCTGCTTCTGAAATGAAACCTGATGATAACAGAATCTATAGCATAAAACAAGAATTATCCTTTTTGAATGGAGATTGGTGGCAAGTGTCCAATGGGGCTTCATTAATGCCCTTTGATGATAGAGATCTTTTGAACAAATCATTAGATCTTCGATCTCCGTCGAATTTAGTTTCATTTTGGGTTACTGATGTTGATCGTGCTCATCGGTCTAAGAAGTCTGTGAGTGTGAGTGGTATATTGCAGATTGGTGTCACCCTAGATGGGTTGTTTTCGAGTAAACCCTACGAAAGAAGTCCTCATTTTGATATATGGCCCGGTCATTCCCAGCTCTCTGTGTTGTTTGAAGGAGTATACATTGAATCGAAGAAAAGTCAAGGGGAAAGAGTGATGTGTTTGTTAGGGAACACCATGTTGCCTTCTCGTCAGCAAGAGTCTAGTGATCCGTGGGAGTGGGTAAAGGAATCCGGTTATACTAATCAGCCACCTCTTATGCAAGATGATCGAATTTTGCTCGTGCTTCATTATCCTATAACAAATACACTGACAAATAGAGCTATTGTTGGAACCATGAAAAGCTTAAACCCAAAAGCCAGTTTTAAGTACTTTGATGAAGTTCATATGTCTTCTTGGCTAGGAACTTCTTCTAAGTACGAATTTGGCTCGGAAAAGTTTGTGTCAAAAGCTTGTGATCCATACCCGTACAAAGATAGTCTGAGTACTTACATAAATACATATAGAGGGCTTGATTTCTGTTATATTCTTCAGAGATTCACTCACCAAGAAGCCTTAACAGTTGCTCCAAACTGGAAATGCAATGGTACGGATAATTTTTGCAGTCAGTTGGGTCCATTTAAATCAGATAAGGAGATAAAGGCCACGGATGGAGGTTTTAAAGATGTCAAGCTTGTCCTTCAGGATGTTCGATGTGATAAAAGTTCTTTTAAAGATAATGACACTTTCACAAGGGTCTCTTCCGTGTTTAGAGTGGTGTCTCCGTTTGAGAATCAGTTCACCGCAGCACAAAGGACTGGACTTAACAACATGACTCTTTCCGCTGAGGGAATCTGGAAATCTTCCAGTGGACAGCTTTGTATGGTTGGTTGCCGTGGACTTGCTGATGCAGAAGGCAGCACCTGTGATTCTCGAATCTGCTTGTATGTTCCGCTGTCTTTTTCCATAACACAGAGGAGCATAATCACTGGCCATTTTTCCAGCATCGATGGAAGCGGTAGGCCTTACTTCCCTTTATTATTTGAGAAACTAATTCGCCCTGTTGAACTGTGGGATCAATACACTGCTTCTCGTCCATACTACAAGTACTCAAAACTCGATGCAGCTGCTGCAGTCCTTGAGAAAAATGAGCCCTTCAACTTTGGTTCAATGTTTAAGAAATCGCTGTTGACGTTCCCAAAACTGGAAGATGCAGATTCTTTTACAGTCAGCCTTTCATTTCTTTCTGAAGATCTAAGCCTTCACACATCAGCAGTAGCGGATCAAATCCCCGATTCAGCTCACCAAAGATTTGATATTGAGATGGAGATTCTGTCTCTTGGTCCAATGTTTGGGCCTTTGACAAATGGCTCAATAAGTGAAAAAGAGAACTCGTATCATGCTAAAGCTGAATACACAGAGAAACAGCTTTTCTTAAATGTTTCTGCTCAACTCAGTCTCGCTGGAACATCATACAACAACATCTCTTTGCTTTTCATAGAGGGGTTGTATGATCCGCATGTTGGAAAAATGTACCTCATTGGTTGCAGGGATGTTCGAGCCTCGTGGAAAATTCTATCAGAAAGTATGGACCTTGAGGCTGGATTGGATTGTCTAATTGAGGTGGTTATATCATATCCACCAACCACTGCTCGTTGGTTGGTCAATCCAGCAGCTAAAATCTCCGTATCTAGTC